GAGTAAATGGTTTTAATTATAGATAGAAAAAAATTCTTGACCAACTTTCTAAAGTTGGCAAAGATTATTAAAATTTCAGATTTATGGTGGAGAAGGTATAACCATATGTACTTGGTGAAATAGTATATGAAAATGACATAAAATCTAAACTTGTCAAAAGAAATGATCAGGGCAGGGCTTCAAACATCAATATAAATAATTTTAAACGGTTTAGAGCAAGATATGTATGATATTCCAAAAGGGAGTATGCCTTTTATTACTAAAATAAGCATTACAGTGAGCAATAATGCTACTGGTTTTAAGAGTAGGAAGAGAATAACGAGAAAGTAATTGTTGTTGAATAGAGGATGAGGGATGACCAAGACGATGATGCCATACATCAATTGAAGCTATAATTGAAAAGTAAATAGTGGGCTGGGTGATTCGTGGAATGAACGACTATTCATAAATATTATCCTTACTCTAGTCTCAGATCAAGGATGCCCCCGTGCTCAAATCATTGATAAGAAAATAGTTAAGAAAGGAATTTAATTAAGATATTATTTTATTTATAGAATTAAAAAATAGAAATGAGATTTTGTTTAATATAAGGTGCACACGGAACATCATAAACGTTATGCCACGTGGATTAAGCATTATGGAATCAATATGAGTAATGAGGATTCCTTTACCATCACCGATGATGATATCTTCATTTTCACCATAATTAGTGTGGATGGACAAGTTGTGTAGATCAAAGATGATTTGATAAGATGCGTTAAAGTCTATAATCCAATTGTGTTAACTAGTATACGGAGTAGTTAGTGAGATTTACTTGAGGTCAATGTAATGGAGGAGGAAGTCTAGGTCGAGATCGACAGATTTTTGCAGAGTGGCCAACTTTGTCATAAAGCTGGCAAACAACTCCTTATTGATTTATGCGATCAGGACGCTAGGGCTGAGGATAATTAAAGTAATTTCCTTGATAATTATGATTGAAATGTTGATGATGTGGAGGAGGGGAGGTTTGTTTGAAGCTGACAAGTTCAGGAGGTATTCTGGCCAAACCTTTATTGATAGTCTTGTTGTACTAGTTATCCCTCTTTTTGAATTTTTGATTGATTGGAGCTATGATTGATGGTCCTGGTAATTTGTCATTGCACTTGAGATAAATCTCATAGTTAGTCAACTTGTCATATAGTTCTTCAAATAACATCAGTGAGTCGCATGCTCGTATTGTTGCTGCCAGTTCCTTATACTTGTCTCCTAAGCCGTTAAGGATGTGGACAATGCCTTCTTCATCACTGAGGGAATGACCTATTAGGTCAAGTTATTGATGATAACCTTTATATTCTATAGATAATCGATAATAGTACTTTCCTCTTATTTTATTTTCATGAGACTGGATAGGAGACTACGCATACGAGTACGTGGACGATTTGCTAATGTGGTTTGCAGCTTGCACCATGCTTCGACAATGGTGTCACATAAAGTTATGATAGTGTGAGGGATTCAAAAATTGAGACTTGAATTGCTTGGAGGATGAGACGATCTTAGAGTAACCATAGTTTGTGGTTCGAATTTGGAACTGGACTGGGTGCTCCTAGGATGTTGAGCATCGCTGGTGGACAACAGAGAGAGCTATCAACGTAGCTTAGTAAATCATAGCCAAATAGGATATTAGAAAATTATGCACACCAAGATGCATAGTCCATCTTTGGATAACTTGAAGAGCATGAGAGTTATAGTATTGATAGAGATAAGGCTTGTATGTTGAGGAGTGTTATGGTTCCCTATGGGCACAATAACTAGAGCATCAAATATAGATGATGAAGATATATTAAGGATATATACAAATATGAGGGGAGTAAGGTAGGAGTCTTTAGCTATAGGAGGGTGATAAGAGGCTACAAGTACTTGTTTATTGCTAGTGAGGAGGAGGGTCAGCTGCAATTGGGGCAGATCGGAGTGTTCAACTAAGTTTGGTGATCAAAAAGGTGTCGACAAGATGTGTCCGGTGGTCAAATTCAAAGTCAACAAGAGCGTCCAAGCGAATGTGGTAGTCGATGAGGAAGATGAACTGGTCTTAGCAAAGCTCAGTGGTGTCACTTGTGCTCTCGAGGAAGACAAAAGATTAGATGGTTGGTTGCCGCGGAAAGGAAGAAGCATGAAAAGATCGTTGAGACAAAGAGCGGGGAGTCTTGCTCACTGCTCTGATACTATAAAAGAATAAATCATGAAAAAGATATGTATTTTGTTTGATATATACTCTTTATTTATATAGTCTAAGAGGAAGAATTTTCCTTCAAAGAACAACAAGATTTCCTTGTACAGTGAGGGAAATCTTAATTGTAATCAATTCCAACCTATCAATAAAATTGATAATCTTAGCTGCTATCGATTCCAACCTGTCAACGAAATTGATGGGCACCTTCTTTTTCTCCTAAATACATAGTAAATCTAAGCTAAAGTGGGCTTTAATTATTCATAACCTACTTTAGCCTTAATTCTCTTCTTATTTAATCTAAATCTTTAATTTTTTTAACCAAAAAGTGTGATAGCTAGGACAAAAAAAAAAAGAAAAAAAAGACAACCATCTCTGTGAAAAGAGAGAGACAACAGTAGTAGTTGAGGATAGAAAAATGAGAGAAGAGAAGAAAAGAAAATAAAAACAATATAGAGGCTATTCTCAATCATCTAAACAATATAGATCAGATTTATAGTGAATTCTTACTATGATTACTTGGAAAGATTTGAGATATTATGCATAGTAATATGATCCTTGTATCCTAGTTATTCTCTTGTGATTATTACTTGAATTTTGGGTAAGAGATTCTGAGATTTGTATATTCATTATTTTATAGTGAATTTTCTTTGGTTTGTTCCATGATTTTTACCCTTTACGTTGGAAGGATTTTTCACGTAAATCTTGGTGTCATACTTGATTGTAATTTCAATTTAATTCTATTGTGTTTTATGACCTACTTATATTTGTTCACATATAATTTTTTTTTTTATCCCATCAACTAGTATCGGTTTTGATGTTTTAATTTTTATATTCAAATATGGAGGCAAATAGTGTTTTTCACATGATTAGCTTGATCGGAAATAATTAGATGATATGAAACCAAGAATGAAAAATATCTTATATTACAAAGATTTATATAGACCTTTGCAAAGGGATAGTGCAAAGCTCATAATTATGACAGATAATGAATGAAAGAGATTAGATTAAAAAAATAATCAGGTTTATTCGATAATGACTCAATGATAGTGTCTTTCACTATATGAAAGAAAAATGATTAACAACAAAACTTTCTTGATAAGAAAATTTATATACCTAAAATATAAAGAGATTTTTCTATTGTTGAACATTTGAATGAAATATCACTAATTAATTATAAATTTTAAATATATTAATAATTTAAAAAATAGAGTAGACAAGAACAGTAGATAGTTACCATAATTGCATGTTCTCGATACAGATGCTTTTTTTCATTTTTCCCAAAATGACTATTTTTTTCTTTATTTTCTTCCTTGGCCAAATATTAAATTAGTTAAGTATTTCAAAATTAATCAATCTATGATCACACACTAATCTAATTAATTATGAAGCAAAGGAAGTCAAAACCAAACCTAACATAATTTTTCTGAGTTTGATCTGAATCCATTTAATATCAAGATGAATCCTCAATAATTTTTCTCTTTATTTTTCTTCTATTTTATTTTTCTTATTTTTTCCTCCGTCCTTTTTCTCTCTTTTTCTTTTTTCCATGGGAGAACCTATCTCTCTTCACTTCTTTCTTGTTTTCTTTCTTTGACGTCTGTTCGCACAGCGATAACTCCCTATCTTCTCTCTTTCCTTCCATCTCTCTCTCTCTCTCTCTCTCTCTCTCTCTCTCTCTCTCCTTTTTCTTTTCTTGTTTGCACTTTTTATAATTTAGTCCCTGATTTTTCAGTATTTACAATTACGTTCTCAGAAAAATTAGGGATACTACATGCATGCTTCATTTCTATTTTCATTTGATGTTTCTCTCGCCTTTATAATTGCTCGGTGGATTCTTTTACCATAACTAAAATAATTATTGCTATATTTAGTTTATTTGTTTGCTTATTTTTTAATTACCTATCCATCACATAGGGTGACAGCTTGATCGATTCAAGTTGGTTCAGATTTATGTATGTAAGAATCCTTTGATATTCAATCAAAGAGGTCTCCAATGTTCAATCTAGTGTTGACTTAAAAAAAACTGAGTTTGGAAGAGAAATTTTCGACATGATCAATTATCACATTTAAATTAGTAATGGAACATAAAAGAAGATGAGGGTAAACTATATCTCCCCTTGATTATTGTGACTCGATGGACTTTCTATGATTAACCCAATCAAAAAGAATATTTTATGATATAAAATTAATATTTTTTAGATATTTTATGTTAAAAAAATATATATATGTGACATGGTTGTTGATTGAGGGGCTCAGTTTTACTAATTGGATCATCACATATTAGAATCTTGATTGGGGATAAATATAATTCGTGTGACTTAAATGATCTACATCCCATGATATTTACGAATCAAATGTTTACGAGCAATCATTTTGATGCAACTCTTCAATATTTCTGGGTGTCAATTGACCCATCCGCATCGAATTTTGTAGAAAACAAATATCATTGATTTTTTTTTTTGGTGATCATATCCATGATCGCAAGATGTGCACAATTAATCAATGAATAAAATGATGTTGTAGACAAAGCGTGCAGTTAAAACATCTAATATTCACTATGTAAGCTATTATCCAAATAATTAATTCAAAAAAGGTCAATTGCTCAAAATTGAACATAGCCTTATAACCTTTTCATCATCCATACGCATTTCAAAGCAATTCAAAGAACCGGAATTTAGGATCGAATTCGCCATCATGTTATGATGTAAATATGACACGTTAATAAATTTGCATGTCAACAAGATTTCATTCGCGTGTGGCGAGTAATAGTCACACGGTTCCATACCTTATGATTTCACACATATGCACTCACTTGGAGTTTTAGTGGCTAAATTAACAATATAGTATTGCACGATAACAATAACAGGGTATTGCGATACTACGACTGGTCGGCAGTCTAGTAGGACAAAGGAACATTAGGGGAGAGGGGGGGCGACACATATGATGACTAGTCATCTACTCCGTCATCGACCTCCCGAAATAATCGATGCAGTGGCCACCGACGAAGGATACGACATGCAATATTCATCGAAGCCATCATTGCGAAGCAAAGCAAGACCGCCGAAGCTGAGGTACGTCGGCGACAGTTCCGGCAGCGGTGCATGACCCTCCAAGTAGCGTACCACTTGGCGCATGCTCGGCCGGGCTGCGGGCAGTGGATGCGAGCACAGCAGTCCGAGATTCAACACCAGCTCCACCTCCTCCACCACAAGCTCTTCCCCAAGTCTTGGATCCCTCGTCTCGAGTATGGATCCCTTCCGCCAATTGTCTACCACCCAATCCAACAGAACAAGGTGCTGCTCGTCCGCCATCGAGTCCACCGGCCTCCTTCCGCAAGCAACCTCGAGAATGAAAACCCCAAAGGCAAACAAATCGGTCATGGTGGTCGCCTTGCCGGTTCGAGGGAGCTCGGGAGCAAGGTAACCCATGGTTCCCGCGATACCGGTGGTCTGTGGATCCGTTCCACGATCGTATAACTTTGCTAGGCCAAAGTCACTCAACCTACCATTCAATTCGTGGTCGAGCAGTACATTGCTCGCCTTGATGTCTCGGTGGATGACGACTTGCTCCCAATCTTCGTGTAGATACAGAAGCCCTGATGCCACGCCTTTGATGATCCGGAACCGTGTCGCCCAATCCAGAGTAGGCTTGTCTTGGCCATACAGAAACTTGTCCAGGCTGCCATTGGGCATGTAATCATACACCAACAGGAGCTCACCTTTGCGTCGGCAATAGCCCAACAACTGAACAAGGTTGCGGTGGCGGAGGCGACCGATGCTAACTATCTCAGCGACAAACTCCCTCATGCCCTGTCTTGATTCATGAGATACTCTCTTCACCGCAATCTCCGATTTAGAAGTCTGTAGCACCCCCTTGTAGACCTTTCCGAATCCGCCTATTCCGAGCAAATCTTCGTCCTCGAAACCCTTGGTAGCTTCGTACAAGTCTTTGTAGGAGAACCGATGAGGGCCGTACTCAAGCTCCCAGTCCTCGCGGACCTCTGCGTACTTGATCCTCCATCTTACGATGAAAGCCACGACTCCTACGACGATTAGAACTAGTCCAGCTGATGCTAGAGGCAGTGAAATGGTCAACGCCTTTGATCCTCGCTTGGGTCTCACACGAGGGAGCGAGGGTAGTAGGGAATAGTCGAGAGCTTGAGCTACTCCATTCATCTTAAAGCTCCAACCCAGAATGTAATGAGACGTCAGGAGAGAACCAGTGGATGAGGAGAAGCCAACATACATGGGACCTGTCAGCACGCTTGATAGATCGATGATCGCGGATAAAAGAGGTTTTTGGGGTTTGGTCATTTGGATTGAAGCTAAGGTAACATTAAGCAGCATCTCTTGGGCGTCGTAATCTATCCAAACTTGCAGGGCTTCACCATTTATAAGGCTTAAAGCTTTGAACAAACCAGAGTCATCAGCATAATAACCAGCGGTGTGGGAAGAGTTAGATGTCAGGCTGTTAATATCGATTCCGACATGATTGTCATCAATATCTTGGAATTCAGGGTCATAGATTGTGTCAAGCTCGATGCCAAGAATATGATCGCTCGAGTTCCCATTGTTGCTCGGGTTGAAGAGGCCTAAGAACCGACTACCGAAGGCTCTGGAGAAGTCCTTGGTGGGAGAAATCAAGAAGACGATTCCATGGCCGCTAAGATTGGCGAGTTCTGGGATGAAGCCGAAGACGAAAGTGGTGGAGAAGGAGAAGATTTTACCAGTAGTTTGATCTCTGAAACGAAGTGGGGATGGACGGAAGGCGTGGCCCTTCACCTGCGTTGTCGCGTTGGTGATCCTCAGCAGACCACTGGAGGTGATGGATGCCACCCCGTCGAGCGTAAGATTGGCGCCTCTGAATCCATTGAAGATGAATTCGTGGCTTTCGCTGCCGGAGGCTGCAAGCTTTTTGTGGAAGAAGAGGAGGAGGAGGCCGACCAAAGTCTTGAGAAACATGGCTGCCATATCTGTCGTGCAAAATCTACAACACGTTCAGAGGACCAAATAATTCCCAAATTGGAATTAAAGTCGGGTTTACGGTCATAACTAGAATATGATTTAACACCAACGAACAGATGCACTGTGATCATCTTGTATTTCATCAAATCGTAAAAGTTGATGGTATGAGATCAATTCTACATTGCCATGGAGTCAATTTTCATTTTGGTCTTCTTTTCCCTGTTAATACAGATGCATACAAGTCTATGATGCAAATGGCCAGTTGATGATAATTTAGACGACCCAAAGCAATAATTGAACACTTGATGTTATGGGAAAAAAAGAAAGTCTTGCACGCCGGTAGACTTTTTTGCTCAGTGACAGCAACGGTGAAAGCAAACACCGGACTTGAATGAAACTGACAGACCAAAAAGGATGTTTTTGTTTTTTCTCCTCTCATTTTTATTCTTCAATATATATATATATATATATATATATATATATATATATATATATATATATATATATTCTCTTTGTTCAATATAAATCTTCACCTTGTTCCAGCCACATCGGATTCATTAGAAGAACAAGTATAAAGTCGTTCTCTAGAATCTTCAAAGTCTTCGGAGTTATCATCAAATGAAGAATCTGCAGAGGAATTTATGCAATGTTGAACAAGAACAAACATTGACGTCTTCTATCCTTTTACCATGAATCATGAAACTCTTTTGTGACAATTCCTCGAGGATCTATATATTTTAAGATGGACACAATGAACAAATGAATCAAATGATGTTGTAAACGAGGCATGCCATCAACAATATCATACGCTAGTAAATTTGCATGTTTGCAAGGTTTCGTTCAAATGTGGTGAGTGATGGTCACGGTTCCATGGCATGTGATTTCATACGTAGGCACTCACTTTGAGTTTTGGTTGAGTTGTAGACTAAATTAACATTTTAGTATGGCATGATAACAATCACAGGGTATTACTACACCACAACTGGTAGATAGCCTTTTAGTGCTTCAAAGCTAACAATACACTGTATGACAAAGGGACAAATCACGGGAGACGACACATATGATTGTCGGACTCCGTCAACGACCTCCGGAGAGAACCGATGCAGTAGCCTCCGGCGAAGTATTCGACATGAAACGGTCATCGACACCGTCGTTGCGAAGCCGCACAAAAGCGCTGAAGCTGAGGTACGTGGGCGACAGCTCGGGAAGCGGTGCATGGCCCTCCAAGTAGCGCACCACTTGGCGCATGCTCGGCCTTTCCGTGGGCAGTGGATGCGAGCACAACAGTCCAAGCTGCAACACCAGCTCCACCTCCTCCACATCGTACTCTTCTTCGAGCCTTGGATCCGTCGTCTCCAGTATCGATCCCTTCTGCCAATTCTTCAACACCCAGTCCGACAGAATAAGCTTCTCCTCGTCCGCCGTCGGGTCCACCGGCGTCCTCCCGCAAGCAACCTCAAGGAGGAAGACGCCGAACGCAAACACGTCGGTGATGGTGGTCGCCTTGCCGGTTCGAGCAAGCTCGGGAGCAAGATAACCCATGGTTCCCACCACATGGGTGGTCTGTGGATCCGTTCCATGATCGTACAACCTTGCTAGGCCAAAGTCACCCAACCTTCCAATCAATTCATTGTCGAGTAACACGTTGCTCGCCTTAATGTCTCTGTGGATGACGACTTGCTCCCAATCTTCGTGTCGATACAGAAGTCCTGATGCCACGCCTTTGATGATCCGGAACCGCGTCGCCCAATCCAGAGTAGGCATAGCTTGATCGTGTAGGAACTTTTCGAGACTGCCATTGGGCATGTAATCGTACACCAACAGAAGCTCTCCTTGGCGTCGGCAGTAGCCCAGCAATTGGACGAGGTTTCGGTGGCGAAGGCGACCGAGGCTGACGATCTCCGCAATAAACTCTCTCATACCCTGTCTTGATCCATGGGACACTCTTTTAATTGCAACCTCCGATCTAGAAGACCGTAGCACACCCTTGTACACTCTCCCGAACCCGCCCCTTCCGAGAAGCTCTGTGTCCCTGAAACCCTTGGCAGCCTTGAACAAATCCTTGTAGGAGAACCGATGAGGCCCGTACTCAAGCTCCCAGTCATCCAGGAGCTCTGAATACTTGGTCCTCCGTCTCAGGATGAACACGACAATCCCTACGACGGTTAAAACAAGCGTAGCTGACGCCATGGGCAGCCCGATGCGCGAAACCTTAAACTTGTGATTTGATTTCGCACGTGGAAGAGAAGGCAGCAGGGAGGAGTTGAGAGCTTGGGCTACGCCATTCATCTTAAAGCTCCAACCAAGGACGTAATGAGATGTTAGGAAAGGACCAGCGGAGGCGGAGAATCCAACATACATCGTTTCTAACAACACGCTTGTAAGATTGACGACCGCAGATAAGAGAGGTCTATGGGGTTTGGCCATGGGGAATGAAGCTAGGGTCACGTTAAGTAGCATCTCATGGCTATCATAGTCTACCCAAACTTGCATGGTTTGGCCGCTACTGAGGCTTAGATTTTGGAACGAACCAGTGTCATTCAGACAATAACCAGCAGTTTGGGACTCATCAGATTTCATGTCGTTGATATTGATCCCGACATGGTTATCATCAATATCTTGGAATTCGGGGTTACGGATTGTGTCAAGCTCGATCGCAAGGACATGGTTGGTCGAGTTACCGAGGTTGCTTGAATTGAAGATGCCTAAATACTGATTACCTATGGCTCGGGAGAAGTCCTTGGTGGGGGATACTAAGAAGGCCATCCCATCCCCGCTAAGGTCCGGCAGTTCTGAGATGAAGGCAAAGACAAAAGTGGTGGAGAAGGAGAAGACGGTACCATTAGGAGACTCTTTGAAGCGAAGTGGGATTGGGTAGAAGGCGTGGCCCCTCGACTCGAATGTGTTGTTGGTGACCACGAGAAGCCCGTTGGAGGTGATCGACGCGATCCCGTCGGGATCAATATTGCGGCAACGGAATCCATTGAAGGTGAACCCATCAGTCCCACCGCAAGCGTCTGCAACTTCTCGGTGGAGGAGGAACAGGAAGAGCAAAGTCTTGAGAAACATCGCTGACATATCAATCTTGCAAAATTTGGATCGAGTTCACATTAACGATCGAGTTCATGGCTTTGAATGGTCAGCACCATGAAAATTCACAGAAGACGTTGGAAATAGCACGTACGTGGATGGTCCATCTACCACTTTTTTTCCCAATGCCAATATCCTTGCTAGACTCCGAAGTCAACTGGAAGGCTGGCTCTGATAACATTGGTGACACGATGACCATTGCAATTCTATCCTTGTCTGAATATTTTATTGTCGGGTTTTTTTAGAATGTGTGATCAGATTGATTCTCAAGGCACTTCAATTCTCTGGTCGTTGATCCTTTTTTCATGATATTTTGAAGTATTTGTTTCCATTAAATGCAATGACTAGCAAGTTTGAACGAACCTCTTAATCATTTAATTTGATGCTGCTATGTTTGACTCGTGAAATTATATTTGGACCGTATCCAGTGGAAAGAAAAGTCAAAGTGATATATTGAATTTGAGTAGATAGTGAAATTATTTGATAAGATACTCCTGTGTTGACACTGAGGTGTATGTTCTGTCAGCTTTGTACATCAATGAGATAGGATCATT